TTTGCTGTACACTCTGCTGCAGTTAGTGCTCTCAGGGAACTAAGCACATTTCTTATAAACTCTTTGAAAGAACAAAATACATGATTTTCGCCTACTATGCATGCCTGTAAATAAGTCTAACTTTTTTTTAACAAGTATTTTAGTTCTCTGAAGTGAATGGAAATGTGTCAGTCACAAGTTTTCAGGCGGGAAAAGGAGCATTACGGTGGCAAACAGTAACAATGAAGAAGGCAGGACAACCCTGTGATTACACCAGGTAAATTACACCTTTCTCCTCCAGCTCTGAGATTCCCAAAACTGGGCCAGATTGGAGCATCTTTCAAACCTAAACATCTGTCTATTCAGTGAAAATGCTGCAGAACCTGAGGAGCTTTCTTTCCCACACTGATCCCTGGAGAGTGAATTCCCTTCCTTATGAAGAAGGTGAGCAAGTACAGTGCAGTGGATAGGCCTGATGGATTATTTTAATGTCCGGCTGCCACAGAACCTGCTGCAATACCACGAGTTCTCATCTGATTAATATTGCTGTGGCCCTGGTTCTCACCTCACTGCACGACTATTGTCAGCACAGCTTGGACACTGAGCAGCAACAAAGCACTGACAGTTTCTGGTGGTCTTCAGCTGCAGAAAAATACTGAAAGAAGTTCAGTACCCTGGTGATAGGGGTTTTTTTGTCCATTTTACGTGATGCTATGTAGCCAGCCACAAACATCCCCAAAAGGTACTTTCTAGATGTGTTCCTTTTCTGTGGTTTAAATCTGTGCCCACACTTGGTGATGCACAAGGAGGGTGAGTGCAGACCAGAGGCAACATAAAGCTCTCCAAGTGTCATTCTTGGCAACTGAACCCAACAAGCAGTAGCCTCCTCAGGCACACAAGCCACCTGGCCTCCTAATCACCCTGTTCTTGTCCATGAGTGGCTAAATCCAATTATTTTAGCCAAGAATGGCCCTTTAAATAGAGCTGTGAAAACAGCAGATGATATTTAACTCATAATAGAGTAAACTCTATAAATCTGTGAGCCATAGATTTAGAGAGTGTGCTAAGTGGGGGATGATGTGTCAGGGTGAAAAGAAAAACCTTAGGGAAAGGGCTTTTGTGGGAATTATTGCAATCATCTGACAGAGCAAGGCTGAGGAAAATGTTGTGGTTCCAGCACAAACAGAGAGGGAGTGAAACTGGGATTTGGACCTGGGTTCTATTACTGGATCACCCTCTGAAGTGCTGCATAGGTTTCAGTCCAACGTAGCACTCATCACCATTTCTCCTCCACAAAAAGAGGCTGCATTTGTGTCATGTATGAAGACTGCAAGATCACCAAGCAGTGGTTCAAACCCCGTGTGATTTACCTCGTCATGGTCATGCTCAGAGGACAGACAACTCCAACAAACAGCACTGGCAAACTGCCAAAATGCTCACTATAAAGGTTTTGTGGTGGGTTTTTTTTCTTTGTTTGTTTTCAATGTCTATTTTTCTGTGTGGTTGTTGTTTGTTTGGTTAGTTTTTGTTATTATGCATCTCTCTTGGTTGTCTTTCTTGTTGTATCTTCTATAGTCTACATCAACAAACCTGAGCAAACATATCTGACTACTCCTATCCTAATTACTAACCACATCTTTCTATCAATACAGATAGCTGCCCTTTCAACCCTCCTTGTCTTTATTACTCTCCTCATGTGCTTGCAGAGTAAATGATTGCTAAAATCTCCATGACACAGGCAGGTGAATAAAATGTGTCCCATCCAAAGTCTGTGTGTGAAACTGGTAACAAGAAATTGTACCTGGATCTCCTCAATTTCCCAGTATTAGCCACTTTCTTTCCAAGCACAGATTACTTCTATCTGGCAGCTGTTGGAGTAATATTGAAAGAGGAGTGAGGTTCTAGCCCCTGAGGAAATACTAAACTGGAAGCCCACATCCTTTTTCAGAGAAATCTCTCTGAGTGTTACCAGAAATGAACCCACATGAACCTTATTTCTGGTCAAAGAACCATTTTATTGATAGAAAATTTCAGGTGTACTTTTGTGGGATGATTAACTCACAAGCCTCAATCTTATATTTTTAGGAGAAAAAAAGGAAAAGATAACTGAGTTTACTCTTTTGGAAAGTTTTATATAATTGTAAAAATAAGGCAGTATTTCTGAGGAAAATTCGGTGTCAAGTGTCTTCAGCAATTTAGGATGTCTGATGATGCACAATCACTGTAATTAATTGCCATCATCTTACAGAATTGGTTCTAAGTAACTGATGCCTTTCCACTAAGAATATATCTGAAGCATCTTCATATTGCAAATCCATGCCAATTTTTTTTCACCCAAAAGCTGAAAGTTAGCAGCCAGCCTACAGATATTTTGTGAGGCGGGGAAGACATAATTTAGCTGAGCTTGCTGTTAAATTCATACTAATAGCAGAAAGTAGGCACTGCTATCTGTAAAACAGGGAATTAAAAGCTATTAAAGTTTTAGCAGTTAGGGATCAAGGTGGGGAGGGAGGTTTTACTTGAAGCTTGTGATTCATGGTGCAACCTGGACTGTCATGAAAGCAAATATCCCACCAAGGCTGTGAGGAGGGGGATGGCAAATGGAGTTCTTGTGGAACATCCTCACATGGTTCATTGCAGAATCTCACTCTGAATTTGTAAGACTGATCCATTTTTGCAGGCTTTTGGAGGAAGGCAGAGGGATGTGCCAGTGAATTTTTGCAGGTTGTGGTATGTGGGGAAATATTTCTTCTGGTAAGAAATGGATTGTTTTTCACCCTTTGTGTAAAAACACTGCACTGTTACAAGTGATCCTTTAAATAATAAGAAAGATAGACTATCTGATAAGCCCTTCCAAATCTCACAACATTTGTTATATTCACTGAATGCTTTTCATTAGGATTGCTAAAGATAAAGGCTTTCTGTTTCTTTGTATCTTCACAAAAGCTTTTAAAACTGTGTACTTATATCTGCAGGACACAACTATTATTAATGAAGCAGCTGGATTTCTTTTTAAATAGGTTACTTTGCAGCCATTTGCTCTGCTAATTACTAACAGAAATGCTGACATATCTACAGTGCTTTGGGATGTTGAATACTATCTAAAGTACATTTTAAAAGCATTTTAGAAGAATAACCCGTATCTGAATTGTGAATTGAAACTGTAAAATAATATACATGGAAAACAGCTGCAGAAATTATTAGCTCACATTTCCCCCCAGCAGATTTGCTTCCAAGTATATCCCATGCGACGTGAGAAATATAGCTTCACAATAACATCATCATTTTGCTGATCTCAGTTTCTATTAAAGTATCCTAGTAAGTGGTAACTATTCTGATAAATGGATGCATGTGAAGAAAAACTGGGATATAGATATCACACCAGAGCAGTTCAGAGAAAGGTAATTCTCCTTCATGAATTATTTCAGTACTTGGTTTAATTCACCTTGTGAAATTCTGCACGCACACACACACACAAATGCACGGGGCAATATTTCAGGCCCAGACAAGTCTTTCTGGGGCACTGCTGAAAAATTAGAGACCATGGAAGCTGCAGGTACTCAAATCAGTGGCAGTCTGTCTGCTGCAGATGGATAGAGAGATGAGCTAGAATGGCAAGGGGGCTGATTTTTAAAGACTACCCATTTTGTAAGACATGGATGAGATCAAATACTCCATAAAAATAACTTGATTTTGAGAAATCAGCAAATTGTCACCAAAAACTGTGGTGCTGGCATGTCTCTGACATCATAACAGATATCTGTTGTGTGTCTTGATAATGAAAAATAAAAAACTGTTTGGGGGAGCCAGTGAAGAGGACAAGAAATGTAAGAGAAAAAACGCTATGCAATAATCAAAACAAAAAGGAAGGGAGAACCAGAGTCTAGAAATAATGGCTCTGATGTACTTTTAGGGTGGTGTCCTCTGTTCCAGATGCTCTTCTCTTGTTGCTACCCCTTTTCTCAACCAGTTGTCAACAAGTACTTTCTGTATGACTTCCTCTCTCTGGTGTGTCTTCATAAAATGTTGGCTGTTTTCCCCTCCTGCTTATTCACTCTTTTCTCTTACCAGTTCCTTCTTCCTGCTCCCAAATCATCCTTCTATCACCACCACTTAGATTTTCACGCAGGTGTTTCCACAGCTCCTTGTTTAAGGTCTCTCCTTTGGAAGACCCTTTCAAACAAGTTCACAGACCCACAGGCCCCTGATCCCCTGCCCTGAGCTTGCCCACAACCCCAAATTTACCATTCTGCAGGATGGCAATGGCAGGGCAGCGGGCAAGTGAGGGCTGGTGTTTCTTTTTATGACAAGTTTGAAATACTTGACTTTAAAATTATTCCCACAAGGTCTTATGACAGTGGGTCTCTGGAGCATTTCCAAGGGTTCTGTTAAAAAAAGAGACCACTTTAGGATAAGTTTAGCTTTAAGGGGAGGTCATCCTTTCCTTCTATTTTTCTAGGAAAAATTAAATATAATTGTGCCAACATATTACTCACATTTTCTGTAGCCCTTCTTTAATGTTTATTAGTGACCTTTGGGGGCTAATTAATACGAGGACATTTAACCCATGAACTGTTTTTTAATTCAATTTGTTAAATGCAAGTAACCATGAAAAATTATAAATCAATTACTGAGTGTATTCTACACTGCACCAACCAAAAAAATCATAACAGAGTATTTTTGAAGGTGATTGAGAAAAATGAACCACCTCCATAAGACCAGGCATTTATCCTTCAATTTATCTTTTCTTTCACAAAAACACTTTTTGAAATACATGTTGCTAAAGTCAGGGACTACTTTTGTAGAAGAAATCAATTATATTCCTAAGTTTAAATCTTCTTCTTTCCCAGCCATGCTCTAATATATCACTGTACCTCAGAAATGTACCCTGGGGAGAAAGCTTCTATTCTTCACTAAAAATCCATGAATAACATTATGTAGAAATTAATTTGTGATAAATGATTTAAATCTTAACCTAGAATGGTGTCTTATTCAAATGTCATCAGAAAATGGCACCTCACCCGCAGAAAGGAGTCAAGGGATCCATTCTCCATGTATTCAACTACAATCATTACTGGTCTGCCTGCAAAACAGCAAAGAAACACATTAAGATTATGAACATATTATGGAGCTTTTAAAATTTCATTTCTTATGTGCAGATTATTCACAGTAGTTAAAAATGTTATGTATTTTCAAAATACCCATTTATACCACAAACACAATAACACAATTCCCTTACTCTCTAAGAATTATTTCCTATCTTTTTGGGTTTTTTTTTTGGTGCTGGATTAGCTGAATGTTCATCATTCACTCCAGTGTATTCTCCCTTAAAAAGGATCAAAGAACAGCCTGCTCCCTCCAAATAACAAATATTTTTGGAATATATTTAAGGCAAAACCCAGATATACATAACCCATGTCAAAGTGATTACAAACTCAGTGTCATAATTTTCCTCTCAAATTAAAATATCTCACTGACTTAAGACAAAGATGACAGATAGAAGGGGATGTCACAAAAGAATCTCTCCTAGATTGGGTGTGTGTATTGGGTGTGTATAACCCAGCAAAACTCTGAATTCATCTGTTTGTAAATACACAAAATATACAGAATGTTACTCAAATCAAGATTTTGCTCAACTAGCCCAGTTTTCCTGTGAACATTTATGAATGAAAATTTACATTTCAAGGGAATAACAAATGGAGCTACTGAGCTTCAAAACAGTGCCCCTGCTTTCCTGTGGGTAATCCTTTGGCACTCCAAGCTTTCCAGAAAATCTTCTGTAAGGTTCTCAAGAGGTCCAGAGGATCTCATTACAGCTTTTATGCTCCTTAGGTTCATATCCTTCAACTTATTTGTATCCAACAACTTGGATTTTAAATGCAACTATTAATTCTCCTACATTCTCTCACAAAATATTTCCCCCTCCAAAAAAATCTCACCTGTATTTCCTTTTGCTCAGACCCTAAGCAATCCTATGGTTCCAGGGTGGCACCATTTCCAAATTTATTTCCTAAATTGTACTGAAACCTGAAAATAAACTTCTAAGCTGGGTACTGAACTAAATAGCATTTCACTGTTGCCCTTGAATAAACTACCACTCTAGAACTGTTTGACAGTAAAGGGCCAATCACCCTGCCAACGAGGCTGCAGAGCAACAAGTTTTTTAGAATGAATACAAAGGAGCCATTCTAATACACAAAAAATTCTAATACACATACACAAATGTAATGAAGAAGTATGTAAGTCAGATTGGGAAGGAGATAAAAGGTCTTCAAGTTAAAAATCTTAAGATGGCAAATTTTTCTTTCCCTGAGAATGCCCGTCTCTTTGGGGCTTGTGGGAAACCAGGGGTGACACTGTGAGTCTGCCATTTCACTTCCTCCATTCAACACTAGCTGTGCCAATAATTTTCAAATCCAAAGGAAGACTCTTTAATCGCTTTTTTTTCCTCTGCCTCTCAAATTATGTTTGTGTTTTATTTGGATGAGGGGATGAGAAACAAACACAGTGTTCAGGCTGATAAAGCATAGAAGGGCATTTTGATTGTTCCAGCCCAGCTGTCCGTTGTTGTTCAGTTTGTTTAATAGTGAAAGTGTTTAATAAACTCTCCACAATATATACAATAAGCCACAGCCAGATATTTCTCCTGAGGTGTTACAGCTAACTTTCAATTTAAAAAAGGGAACAATTCATTTCTGTGTTCATCCCAGTAGGTTGGCTTGGAGTTCCAGGAACCCCAGTGATGCTCATTCACATACTTCAGTCTAGTCTTTCTGTAGTTCTTCACAATATTTTCTCATTTCCTCTACTAAAATTTGTGATTATTTCTGTGTTAGGCCTCATGTTTAGGTCCTCAATGAATAGACCAGTGCTTCATAGTGTTGGCATATATTTTTTCCGTGTGAAAATTTCCAGGTGCCTTAGCAGTCTTTTTGGATAGCCTTTCAGCTTCTTTTTATTTTAACTGAATGTTTAGTCTCAGCTGCAGATGAGCACCTGACACCAAATCAATTATATTCATCTGCATCCATTGGTTATACCCTGGTTTTGCATTATAAGTTTACATGATACAACACTTTTAAGCTCTTAGAGATCACAGCATTTTAAAAATTTATGTTTTCTTTTCTTCAGCTTGCTAATGATGACTAGCTGGATAGCCCATTCTCTTTAGTTTCAAGCACATGAATGACCTAGATTCCCTTACCTTTATCATTTTCTTATTGTCAAGGGGCTGACACCTCCACATGGAAGGAATATCCTATAATCTAGAGAAGTAAACCAAGGGCAGCCTGATGTTACAGGATCTTACTATATGCAGAACTCTCTCAAGCAATTAGTAGTTTCTAAATTGTTGCAGACAATGGTATTTTTCAATAAATAGGGAGGTAAAGCTGTCTTTCAGATGGCATATTTGGCCAGGTATAAGTTAACCAGAAATTTCTCTTTCTGGATAAATCAACAACTAGAACACTTTTATGGAAAACTTACATTTGAAGGGAATAACAAATGGAGCTACTGAGCTTCAAAACAGTACCCTGTGGGTAATCCTTTGGCACTCCAGACTTTCCAGAAGCTCTTCTGTAAGGATCTCTAGAGATTCATGGTCTCTCATTATGGCTTTAATGCTCCTTAGATTCATATCCTTCAACACAACTTATTTTCACACTTATTTTTAAATGCAACTATTAATTCTCCTACATTTTCTCACAACACATTTGCCCTCCAAAAAAATTCCTACTGTATTTCCTTTTTCCTCACACCCTATGCTCCTATAAACTTCTAGGTTAAAGTAACTGTGAAATGTATGCATATGCATTTACCTGTGGATTTAAATAAAGAGATTTCAGTATTTTTCACTGGATAATGCTTATGAGTTTTTAAACTACTCAGTGTGGTCCTTGAATGACTTGATGTGCCTTAACACAAAACCAGCTCTTCCACATGGTAGCACAGGAATGGCAGGATTCACTCAATACACCAGAATAAGTAGCATTTTTCTTCAAACAGGCTGCTGTATATCAGAAGACATATCATATCATCAATAAATTTAGTCTCTTAGGCTGATAGCTCCCCACTGACTCAGTCTGTATCACTCAACACCCTTCCTAAATTTCAAAAATGAAACCGGCTCCATCACTTGATTAGCTCAAGCAAAAGTCTTAAATCTGGATCTGAACACTGACTTCTCAAATAATCTTCTTTTAGTGTGACAGCACTTGATAAAAGCCACCCTATTTTGACTGCAAGTTTAATGTATCACTGAAGCTGTTTGTGTATTACAAGCTGGATTGTGACAGTCTATACAGTGAGACTTTCAGTCAGCACAGTGTTTGTCTTTGGAGGACCTGAACATCAAAAATGTCTCAGCTGTTGTTATGGTTGCTTGAAGAAATAGTAGGCTATGGATGACATTGGCTGATGTTACTTTCATTTTAACTGCAAAGAGCAGATATCATCCTTTATACCAAGGTACAATTTGAGTCCAGAAAAACTTGTCTGTGGTAAAGCTCCCTGCAAACACAAAATACTGCTTTTGTTTCAAAGAAGACTACAAAATTGACTTTGAAAAATAATACTGGGAGATTTCTGAACTACTGTAATGTTTGTCTCTAGACAAAGAGAAAAGACAGAAGGACTATTACTTAGATTATAAAAATTCATGTTGTTCTAAGGGTACTGAGAAAGATGAATTCCTCATCCTCAAAATGAGAACAGGAATGAATAAATGAGAGGAGGTCAGAGAAGTCTCTGAGACAGAGAAGCAATCTTTGATTATTTTATCCAGGGGTAGGCTAATGCAATGTTGGAAGGCATTGAATTATTATCCTAGGATTGCTTACACACACAAAACAAAGATAAGTTAAACAGGTTTAAGAACAAACAGCACTGGGATGCAGATGGGAGTTGGGACAACAATAGGAAGAACATCAGTGTCAAGATCCACATAAGAGGAGGTGTGGAAAGAGGACTCTGAGAAAAGTGTCAGCTGAGGACTTGGAATCAAGGAGCTAAAAACTGCAGATATTGCTGGAGGAGAGTGCAGAACTTCTTGTTTGAATTGGGGGAGGACAAAATAAAAAATATTTGAAGATGGATTCAACAGTCAAGTCAGTCAAACAAACCAGTCCTGCAGCAGTTTTAGATACCTGACAGGGAGTATTGTGAGAAAAACCAGTTATAAAGCAGAGGAATTACAAAGTGTTCTGAGGCAATAGGTCTTAACCCCAAATATGGATTTTACATACTATGTATATCACATTCACAATTTGCAGCACATTAGTGTAACAGATTTATCATTTTACTACAGACTCAACAATATGAAATTATAATCATGGCACACACTGACACCACAGCCACATTCACTGCTTTCATATTTTTTTGTGAAACTATAAATATTCCCACCCCAGACATGTGTGATACTGTCTAAAGCAGCTTCCCCTCCTTGCCCAGGGAGTGACTTTGGCTCTGGCAAATCCATTTGAGTCCTGCTATCTCAGAAAGCCAGACTGAACACGCAAGAGCAATATCAGTGCCTGGAATGATGCAGGGAAAGACATGAATTAAATTTCTCAGAACTTAGCTGAATTTGTAGAAGGTGCAGGGGTTATTCATTGTTTTGATGCAACTACTACCTTGTTACAAGAGGCTGACTGGTTTTGACAACTTTCCCTCAGAAAGTTCTTCACTGGAATCCTCCGGCCCAGCAATGCCATTTGAATAAAGCCAGTGTAAATGACAAACAATCTGTATCGATGTTTCAATCAACAGAACGTTTCAGTCTTGTATTTTCCATTCATCAATCTGCTTGACATTTTTTTAATAAGCAGGAATGCAAAAAAGAAAAAAAAAGAAAGTCGTACATTGCAGAATAATGTAAAATACTGATAATATCTAAAACTCACATCATATTTTTTATTTATGCATTTTTTCTCACAACAAAAAATTTTGATAGCATGTAATTTAATTGAGTGCTAGACTGATGAATAAGGAGGAGAATTTGAAGTGTCATATCAATGACAAAATATTCAGCTTGTTGTCTCCTGTTGTCATTTTAAATAATGCAGCAGAGCCTCCTTTAATGAA